TCCTCTAAGGTGGACATTTATGGTGATTGTGTTCCAGTAGTACTCTGGTACTGTTGGTGTTGAGTATTATACAAACATAATGACAAAAGATTCCCCTGTGTCCTGTTTACCCCTGGGAAAAAAATGAGGCAGAGAAAGATTGTGATTTCCTCAAGGTTATACAAAATTAGTCTTTTGAAGAGTTCAAAACTGCTCTTATTTTTCCTGGGTATCTGTAAAATTCTCATGCTTGACCCACATTCTTCCCCACTTCAGCTGTCTATAATAAAACTACACACAAATTAATTATTGTTGGCAGAATATACTGATAACATGTACTGTTCTGTTTGCACTATGGAATCTCCTTTTTGCATCAGTCTGCAAAATTCTTACTGTCTGTTGCTAAAACTTAAAGTGTTTTGCAGCATGATGATTTAAAGGTTTAAACTAATGAAAAGAAATATAATTATTTACTGTCGTGCCCTTTTACTTCTGTTTTTCAAGGTGTGTTCATCTGGTGAGCAATATATATACTACTTAATATGAAACTACATGGATAGCAAACAAGAGAATCACAAGCCTGTGATTTATTTGAATTTAGGCATTAAACTAGGAAGCTTTCTAAGTTTAAATGCTGAGTTAAACTGCACTTCTGTATTTCTTTACCTCGTATAAAGTGCATTAGTTGTTGTTTTCAGAGGAATTCTTTGTTTTCCGTTTCAGCCAGGATCATAGACAGTACTACAGTGCAACCCATAGCAAATAAGTTTAAAATTAATTTCACAGTGGAGGAGTGTATTTGATGGGGAGGTGTGAAAGGTCATTTTCTCTTAGTGATGCGCTGAGATCTGGGTAGTTCTTGTTCTGGACAAGGAGAGTTACTCATGGGAGAGCTTTGTAACCTCTGTTGATTTGAGTACTCTGGCCCCTAACCAGCCAAGCAAAGCACTTTTAAGTCCCTGCTTAATATTTGTGATCCCAGTTATTTGAAACTAGTGAAATTTTGATTGCTGAAGACTAGAATCTTCAGCATATCTAAGAATTATGCCCTGTATATACTCAGCATGGTAAGAGTACAGATATGGTTTGTTTTTTGTTTGTCTTTCTGGTGGTATGAAACACAGGTACATTCTTCTCTCAACAGTGCCTGCTTTTTAAAGTCTAAATACAAACCTTGAATAGTACTGATATATTGAGATATATATATATATATAAAAAAAATTCTTTCATGCACAATAACATAAGTTGAAAGATTTAAAATTATTAATTGAGTCTTTCAGTCTCTACTTCCTTCATTTATCTTTAGTTGGTATTAATCAGAGATGTTTTGCTTTTCAAGGTTTAATGGAACTAGTGCATATAGGAATTTACAGACTTGTAAGATCATTACATCTTTATTCATGTAAGGAAACAAATACTATGCTGTCTGTTTACTGTTACTAGCTAAGACAATTTCCAAGTGCCTTTATTGTCATCTTCAATTTAAAATCCTGTACTGTTTATGCTCAAAATTAATTCCCAGTCATAGGTATGTGGTAAGTCATAAGATATACCAGCTTTTGTATGTTGTTAGGTAATTTAGGGAACATGAGTTTGCCATAAGGATGTCTTTGATGATTTTGTCACGTCCTGTTTTTCTTAGCAACAAATAGAAAAATATTTCCTTCTTCATGTTTCATTTTGTTTCTTATTTCATGCAAAATTAAATGGAGGAAAATTTGAGGCAGGAAAATAGCAGTAAGAGAAAACACCTGAAAGTTCTTGAGTTGACTCTATCTCAATCATGAGATGTCAAGCTGATACTCTTTCCTGGTAAAAACACGTTACCACTTTCCAAATGTCCCTGCACAGGACAGGGCTATTGTCAAGGCCCACCTTAGATTACAACTATGAAGACTTGGCATGTAGGCCTTACGTATGTACCCAGTTCTTGAGAGTTCTGAGAAATTATGACCTTCCACTACTGTGTAAAATGAGAAACTTTGAGGTGGCTGAATAGTCTGAACAGTCAGTTGAAGAGCTTAGGATGAATGAAGCATACATATTGAGTATGCCCAGTCTCAGGAAATCACAGGACATCCACATCCCTGGATGGCCCTTCCTGTACTCCAGCACTTCAGATATTTTACATTTATAAAACTGCATTTCTCAAGGGCAACAGTTCTTCCACTTGCCAAGATTAAAGAGTGTGCATATATGTTTTTTCTTCCCCCAGTGTTTCAGTAGAGGCAAGTCAAATAAAGACATGCCCAACTGTGTGAATTTCATTGTGATTGAGTTTTCCTACAGAATTTTAAATTATTTTCTGTAGAAGGTAGACGTTACCAGTAATGTTGTAGCCATGATAATCTAAGGATGGAGGCAAGATGTGATACGTAGTGAGGCATTTAGATTGGTGAGGGAAGATGTTGCCAATACTGTCAAGAAAGTTACAGTGGTGTGTATGGTATGGCTTTGTATTAGGCTGTGTAAGTTACCTACCAAGTATAATTGAACTCCTGAACAATTGATTTACATCTCTATTCAGCTTCAGCGGAACGATTATGGCTTTTATTTCACAATTAAAGTATTGGTTGTGGTACTGAAAGTGTGTGGTTTGTTTGGATTGTGTGGATTTCTGTTTGCTTGTTTCTCTCTTGTCTGTATATAAAAAGTATGCACATAAATAATATGAAGAATGCTGTAACAGAATGCTCCATTAAGTTTTTCCCATTCCACGTTTATTTTAAATTGTCAGTTCATTGAAGGAGTAGCTACCAAAGCTGATTATGAATTAAATTTGGATCCTGTCTGTGGTTCTGGTGTGAGAAGTACTTGCTAAGCAAAAAGACAGAAAAAATTAGCATGGAGTTTTTCAAAAGAAAGAGTGAGAAAACTAGTTTAAAAGTCCTAATACAATAATCATAGAATCATAGAACAGTTAGGGTTGGAAAGGGCCTTAAGATCATCTAGTTCCAACTTGCCTGCCATGGGCAGGGACACCTCCCACTAAACCATGCCACCCAAGGCTCTGTCCAACCTGGAAGCTGGATCTTTAAAAGTACCATCAGTGCTACATTGTGTGTGTATCCGTTTTGAAAAATGAGTAGTGAAGCACTCTGGATAAATGAAAAGATTTAGGAGGTTATATGACCCAAATGGCTCTTACACAGTTTTTAAATCCGCTATCTTTAGTTGCTAGAGTTGAATAATAATCTGCATTAGCAACTGCATAAACAGAAATAATGAAGCTGGCATGAGTAACTGAGAGTATAGAAATACACAAGAAAATATCTCTTCATGATTAGAATACTCAAATCCAGCACAGGTGTTAGCTGATCCTCTCCTTGATAGGGAATAATTCAGGAAGACGATGTTGATTTATGAGGTGAAATTGTCTTGTGTAGCAGTCTTTGTAGCAGCTGATATTGAAGAAGCTTTATCTTGGGCATGGTCTTAGCCAGAAATTAAGATGAGATCTCACTCTTGAGGTATTAAAATAAACTCATAAGCAGCAGATTCAGCAGGACCAAACAGCAAATATTCCAAGTTTGAAAAGAGGTATATGTAATGCTTCAGTAGTGAAAATGAGTGTTGCTTTAAAAAAAATATGAAATCCCTACTACTGAGCCTTGCAAAACTTTACAAATTTCTGTGGATTGTTTTGCACTGTTTAAAACAATAATAAAAAAACCCCAAAGCAAACAACCCATATACATCCTACAGTAGAGTTCAAACCACACAATTTTTTGCACAGATCTGACAGAATTCTTTGTGTCATTAAAGCAGTGGTTGAAAAAGCCTAGTTAATATTATTTAGAATTTTCCTGAAAGCTTTGAGTGAAGTTAAACATTGGGTTTCAAATTAGATACATCTGCTTGAGGAAAATAACTTAGAATCTAATTTTCAAAGGCCCAGTGATGATTTCTGGTCCTTTTTTAACTAAGATGTAAATTATGTTAAACACAGGAGTAAAACAAAGAGTAGTATAGAGATTATTATAATCCCCTCATGTAGATCAATGATGCAGGCTTCTAAGGAATACTATATGCTATGTGGGTCCAACACAGAGATGATCAAAAGCCTAAGAAAAAATCTTCCATGGTGTGTGAAAATGTGGTTGTTTATGCCAGAGAGAAAAGGAACAAAGACATGAGTACAGTCTATTATGTACCTGAGGCAATGAACTGTAAAAAAGAGGAGGGAAAAAAAAGTAAAAAGTAGAGCAAGTGGAAGTTTTCCATCTGATGAGTTCTGAAAGAAACAACGGGATAGTAAATGAAATCAAGGTCTGAAATTCAGGACTAAGAAATTGCAGCTCATTTTAATGTGCATCTCATTGAAGCACAGTAGCAAGACAAAAAGATTTGGAGATACTAGAATTTGTATTACTTATAGTTCTTCCATCAAGTGAGATATGTTTATTGTTGTGCTTATTGTTCTTGAGAAAATAATATTGTTGCTGGAGGGCTGGCAGGAGGGAGGTGTTGCAATTTAAACAGCTTTTTGTAATTTAGAGAGCTAGCAAAGTTTCTTTAGTAATTTTTATTGCTAAATTGTTGGGTTTTTCTCTGAGGGAGGGTTTTAGACCTGCTCAAGGTCACAGATTTTTCTAGTTCTGGTAACACATTCTGTCTTCATGTAAGTTTCTTGTCAAAGAACCGCCTTAGTCTTTCATAAACTGCTTAACACTGCTATGTGTGGGGATTTCTATGTAGCTGAGAAGTTAGTGACATCTCATGGTACCCATGGAAAATTACAAGTGATTTGTGATAAGGTTTTGGCATTTATAATTTAATAGACATTGCAAGTGTTTTCTAGATCAGAATTTTTTTAATATGCTTGTACATACCTGTCATATTTAATTCATCAGTGTTTGTTATTTATCTAAAGACTAACTCAAGTATTGGTAAGCCTGAAATAATGATACTTGTCTGGTAGCATCTGAAGTCCAAACGTTGCAATGTGTAGTATGTATATATTTATTATTTACAAAATAGTTACAAAACATTATTGTCTCTCCTGGTTTTACTTGATTCAGGTACAAAGTCAGCTACAGAATATGCTAATGGTGGTTATGATATTGTGTCACCTGCTCCATCAGTATACTTGGGCACATTTCAAATTTTGCATCTCCTGGAAGATCTAAAGATGGCGCTGGAAATGCTAGAGGATCCTCAAGAGAAAGAAGCATTGCGAAATCAAATTCCGGGGGCCACAGCAGTGTGTATACGGGAGTGGTTTGAAGAGAATCTGGTGAGTGGTTATTTTATAGTTTTTCCATTTTGTTTGCAAACAGCATCGGTTCAAGTATTTTTATACTTCAATTATTTTTATAATACCTGAAATCTGCATACTTAGAGAACTACAGGGGATGGTGAACAATTCATGTGCTCTTTAGAAAGAGAAGAAAGCACTTTATGTACTGATTACTAAAGCCATACAGATATAGGAGTATAAGAAGTTGGTAAAAAGACTTACTTTGTCCTTGGTGAGAGAAAGTAAAAATGAACTACCAAGAAAGCTATCTTTTCTGTGGGATTTTTTTGTTGTTGTTGGTTCTTTGCTGGAGATAACAAACAAGTTTATAACTAGTCATAAAACTTTCCATTTTTAAACCACCAATTTGGAATATGGTGGCATTGCCTATTGAAGGGACAGATTCAAATTGGATGATTCTTCTAAACTTTCCCTCAGTACATTTCCTTTACCTTAAGTATGGGTATTATGAACCTCTGAAGTATCTTGTACTCCAGGTGGTGGGGGTAAATGTAGGAAAGCTCTAGCTTCTGAATGTGAGACATTCATACTGGGATAGATGAGGAATAAACGTGACTGTCTTGGAAAAGATTAAGGCTTACCACTTGAGGAGCACATCTTCAGACAGACGTTAAAAGAAGAGATCCATTGGATGTGAAGGAAGAGAAACAGCAGTGCCAGAACACTCCTCTTCCCCAAGCCTGCCACTGCAAGTGAATGATGGTTTCTGAATGAGTTAAACCTACCTATCACTTTGTCAGCTTCCGGAAAGTTTTCTAGATGAATGGATTTTCTTCTGGCTTTGTCACTTTCACGTGATTGTGCTTTTGTTTGAACTTGTCAACTGCTGTTTTGTTGGCATTCTCTACAGAGTGCAGGTCTATGGCTGTAAAGTCCTGTTTCGGACTGTATGAGAGAAAGGAATGAGATTTTGGTACCGGTTTTGAAAGCAAAAGGTGGAGGCAATGATTAATTTGGATGTGCAGTGTTAGATTTTGAGCCCATATCCTCAGGTCAGCTCTTACTGACTTCCTGATATAGCAGAAATTGTAATGCTTTTTCAAAGCTTTGTAATAGCTAAAATATATTTTTAATGCATAAAAGGCATCAATTTTCAGAGTTGTTCACAGTAAAGTTGGCCCTGAACTACCAAACTGAACAGTTTGAATCTGGTGGTCTGGCTTTTGGTCCTTCTGTTGCAGAAATATTAATTAAGCTAGTTTTTCAGCTCTGCAATGTAGGGAACACTTGATGTTTTGACTCCTCTTATTAACCTGTTTCTTCTTTTCCATGGAAAACCAGCCAAAACAGAAAACACAGTTCCCTCTTAGACTTGCAGTTTACTGATGTCCCAGAAATCTTGTCCAGTGCATCAAGAGTGGCATTCATTTGGGCACTCTGGATTCAGAACCAACAGAACAGGGAAACTGGTAGCATATCTCCAGTGCAGTATGTTGAGATCACTGTTTTTAAAATATTTTGCACTGTTCTGTATTAATGAATTCTACACTTCCTATAAAGACATGCAAACAGAGGGCAGTGCACAGTTGCTGTGACTGTTATTTGAAAATAGATAGTAATCTGTGCATCTGTGGACCTTTCTCATATTTTTTAAAAATGCAAATAATTTGTAAGCATGCGCACAATTTCTGTGGATGTCAAAATTGGAAGGACTTTCTCCACTGAAAAGCAGCAGTTTCACTTGGGAATTAAGAAGAAATTCAGCTCAGTTCAGTGGAATGGAGTATAGAATCATAGATGGTTAGGGTTAGAAAGGACCTGAAGATCATCTAAACATGTATTTCATAGTTATGGCCATTATGAGGTAATGGCCTCAAGCTGTGCCAGGGGAGGTTTAGATTGGATATTAGGAAAAATTTCTTCACAGAGGGGGTGAATCAACCTAGTTGATTCTATGATTCTATGTGCCATACTGAAAATTACTTAATTCCAGCCCCGAGCTCTGAAACATGATACTTGAGATGTTAAAAAGGATAGTTAAGCTATAGAGAATGAGAACTCTGTAGCTCAGTGAATCCATTCACACTGGAAGCTCAAAGAAAGTTTGGTAATCATTAGTCTGAGAAATGTTGGAGTGTCATAGAAAAAAGCCCTTCTCAGTGCCCATGGCTTAAACACATTGACAATGAAAGATTTTGTTGATTTATTAAAGGCATAATTAACTAGAAATCAGTGAACTATATATTTAGGATCAACATCAGCAATGGAAGAGATAAACCAGAATACTAGATGCTTAAGGAGTGTTAAGAAACACCTACAAATGTTGAATGCAGTTCTATAACTAATTCCAAAAAGCTAGAATCGCACAGACACACACACATCCACCTTCACAGGTACACGCAAACGTTTCCTCTCACAGCTGGGCTTGATTACAAGCATGAACAGCCTCTTCTGTGGATATGGGTTCCCCTGTTTATACACATCTAATGAATATGTGGGTGCTTTTGCTTTCCTGTTTACCCATGGAGCACCCTGTGCTCTGCTAACCCATGCACAGGTAAAACATGATTGTGTAGAAAATCTAGATACTCTCAAGTGGAATTTGCTATGAGGTGTATTTGTTTGCTTTAAAGCATAGGATAATGATTCCATACAGATATTTGCAGTGTATTTTAATTGTTTCATTCGTGTGAAATGATATATCAAGGTTTGCTAACAGTAGCCGTAGCTGAATTGTAACAAACTTTGGAGTGGATGGTGAACTTTTGAGCTTTTTTTGTTAGAGCTATTGTAGGCTGAATTGGAGGAGGATTTTCTGTTGTGGACAATTAATTCCGTACCTGTTTGTTTTTGGGGTCAATGCACCTTCCTTTGGAGCTGGAGGACTGCTCTAGCATGTACCAAATAAACCACTGGTTGTAGAGAATACTGCCTCTGCTTTGTTTCTAACATTATACAGGAATTGGTGAGGTCAAAAGTATTCCCAGCTAATCCTGACTAGGAATACATTAGAAACTAAAGATACAAAAAGCAATCTGATGTGTATTTTAAATGTAGATAAACATGCTCCTTTCAAGAGAAGTGTTATTTTATGATTTTTCTTACATGCATGCTTGAAAAATTGCACTAAAAAATCCTTGCAGCTGCCATCCTTAATCGAGAATGCAAACCATAGAACCATAGAAAGGACCTTAAGATCATCTAGTTCCAACCCCCCTGCCATGGGCAGGGACACCTCACACTAAACCATGTCACCCAAGGATCTGTCCAGCCTGGCCTTGAACACCTCCAGGGGTGGAGCATTCACAACTTCCCTGGGCAACCCATTCCAGTGCCTCACCACCCTTACAGTAAAGAACTTCTTCCTTATATCCAATCTAAACTTACCCTGTTTAAGCAATGTGCCTGCTGGAAATAATGTGAATTTGTGTTTTGCCACTGCCCTGTATTTGCTTTTATGGGAAACTGCAGAAAGGAAAATCAGAAAGATGATTCAAGACTAGTTCCTGCTGGATAGTATCAAATAGCATTTGACAGATAGCATTTTGTTTTTTAGCAAAAACTTCTGCATTTTAGCAGAAATATGGAATAGAAGTCCCAATTATTTTTTTGTATGCTGCTTCTGCTTTAGCAATCATCAGAACCTGAAAGCTCTCTTGGGCAGAGTTATGGCTATCCCTGCTAGTTGTGTTTGTGTCACATAGCAGGATGTGGGATTGCAGGTTAGAGGACAGAAGTGCCAGAACCTTCTTTGTATTGTTTGTTAGTATTGGAATATCATCTAGAAAGAAACACCTGTAAAAAATTGCTCCCCTAGCATTATAAATTAGTAGCTTTGCAGCTTTGGTAATTGCCACTTAGTGTGCTGAACTACACCTGGTGTTTAAATAAGTAAGACTGGAGTTTAGCCTTTTGGTCAGCTTTGAGGCATATTGGTTTATTACTGATCGGTCAGGAAGCTTCTGACATGGTTATAGATCCTATAGCTGGTCTTAGTTGAGTCTTACTTTCCCTAAATTCTAAAGTATCAATCTATGGAATTTATCATACATTAAATATCACTAAGTTGTGGTTTGTGGTTAATTTGATTTGTTCTGGTTTCATTCAGGGTTTTAGGGTGGGTTTTGTTGTTGCTTTTGTGTGTTTGTTTGTCTGTGGCGTTGTCCTTACTGAAACTGTTCTGTTCTTTGGTCTGTCTGATATAGGTATAAATACCAAAGATGTGGGAAATTTAGATGTGCCTAGAGTGTGAAAACTTAGACATCATGTTTCATACCTTGTCATACCTTGCTTACTTCCTCTTTTGAAAGCATCTGCTTTATTACCTTTTTGTGGAACCATTGGTAGTGATTTGGTGGAGTTGTATTTTGCGCTTATCCTCAGCAATTCCCTAAGGAAGAAGCACACCACTTATAGAACTTAAGCTTTTTGAAAAGGCTCCTTGTTACATTTCTGTGGTCTGGGATCTGTGAACATGTCAGGTTCCTGAGTTTACAGTGTAAAAGCACAGTAACTGTGCTGCCACTTCTTTGAGATAGATGAAATAGGTTTGACAAAGTTAGGGCTTAATTTAGCAAGATTTTTACCATGTATCATAGAATGAGGACTTAATAGTTGCTCTGACTGCACAATTTTTTTGACAAAGCTAAAATGGAACAAAGCATCATTAATTATAGACTTAAATGTATTAAAGTTTTTTGCCTTGAAGTGAATGTTGGGAGTGTTTTACATGTTTTGTGATTATGAATTATTTGGCCTTTAAAACAGAATAAGAAGTCCGGAAGATTATCATGGACAGTTCATATAAAACAATCTTGTGTATAATTTCAGTGCTTCTTGCTAAATATTTTAGTATTGCTAGTGACCACATGACATCACAAAGCAGGTAGTAATTTCAGCATTAAAAATTAACTGCTTCAGTAGCAACTGACTGACTTGGTGAGCTGTGAGAGAATGTATTTAGTTACAGTTTCATTTCATAGCTCTAAATGAGCTGCTGCTTTGTTAATTTGGCTTTTTTTTATTCTCTATATCTT